AAGTTACCACTTGTACCGGCCTCTGCACTGCATGTCACCATCTGTGGCTCCAAGTCGTTACAAGAAATCTGCTGTATTGCTTGACGACACCGAAAGGAAGATGACCAGTGTTCATTTAGTACATACTTAACTAACCTCAATGGAATATCTGATTGCGCTTCAAACAGACACGATTTGCTGTAGTAGATAAAAAAGACAAGAGATCAAGACGACAATCAATGAACCCTTCATGTTGCTTAACCGGTTGGAGAAATGTTGACCACTCTTTGTTGGATTTAAGATGAATCAAAACACCACTAGCTTTCATTAAGTTTTGGTCCAGTCAAAGTGATTCATTTACTTTGTGGTTTCTGATGACTGAATCCACCAACACGTAAAACTTCTCATTGATGTTGTTTTCCTTAAGATTCTCTGGAGGGCGGGACTGTGGAGTGGGGACACAGGAAAAAAAGAAGGGTACTTGGAAGAAACACTGCTGGTAAGTGGCCAAAACGAGTGATTTTCTTCTCATCTTTCTGCCTCCCCTCGTTTTTCTTTTGTTCACTTGCTCCATATATCTATTTCTCCGTCTGTTTATCCTCATGTTTACATAATCTATGAGTAATGAGTTGCTTGAAATTGTTAAAAGCGCAAGGTGGGAGAGAATGATAAGACCAAAATGTAATCCATGAATGTTTGACAGCCTGTGCCAGATTTCACGTGGTAATGTATGAATAACAATAATGCAGTGAAATAGAAGATCTGAAGTGTAATGAACAATGTGGTGACGTGCGTAAGTCAGAAAAAATACATAAACTTATATTATGTCTTCCTGATTGTTCAATAAAGAAATAAATAATAATAATATAAATTATGATCTAAGTTGTGAAACCTTGTCAAATATCTCCTGGAGACCTTACAGCCCCTCTTAATCATAGCTGTAGCAGGCATTTTGCACACTAGCGGTCTCAAGTGGTGTCTATACCTACAGCATTTAAAGTGTGAAAGAATAAATGTAGGTTGAAGTCAGTGATGCCGCCCCTCGAACGTACTGAAACATTTTCTTTTTTCTTTTTTGCAGCATATCTAATACTTGAAATATGGGAAAGTACAGTATTTGTAACCTTTTTATTTGAACTTCTTTGTCGCCTCGCATGTAGTTCCAGCAACAGGCAGCTGCCTGGACCCAATGTCAGAGGGGGCCTGTTCAGAATATGTTCTGCTCTGGTACTTCCACCCTAACTCAGGGGAATGTAGGCCATTTGTGTACGGGGGCTGTGGTGGCAACAGAAACCGATTCTCCTCAAGACAAGAGTGCCAGAGTTGGTGTGGGATGGAGAGGAGTGGTAGGGGGCACCAACCAGATCACAGATGAAATACGCACTGTAACAGCTGATCAGTAGTATGAAATTCTTCTTTAAAAATGTTTTTGTTGTACAGCATGAATGGGAGGATACTGTAGATGCAAAAATGGTCATTTAAGGCAGTATAATATTCTGTTCAAATGTATAATAGTGATTAAAAAAAGGTACGCTGGAGGTGAAACGATCATCCCCATACAACAAAATTTTGTGTACATAGCTGTGTAAAACGTTTTATATTGGATTTATTTATATATTTTCTGTTACAGTTGTCTCTTGATTTGTTTTATGGACAAATTGTGTCAAACAGTTTACTACTAAAAGATTAAATACGTCTTTTCTTTTGTGACCCGTTTTTGTCGTGCTTGTCTCTTCACTCTCCATCTCTCGAGTCTCTCTGTTTATGTAACGCTCAGTCACCTTTCTTATTTTTTTTTTTGTCAATTGCCCTGCATCCTGTGTGGTGAGAAAAATAAGAAGCTGGTAGATGATTGCCTGCTGTAACCTCCACCACTACATATGTTCCTTTGGCAGGGGGTGTTATTGGTCAGGCTGGGAGCCAGATGAGGGGCCAACAGGGGCCCAGTGAGGGAGATCACACAGGGGCTGTTTTAGAGGACTCTCCATCAGACCGACGCAACAGTAGCAGGGGATTCCTGCGTGGGTGTTGATGTGGGGGCAGCACCCGTTCAAGGTTGTTTCTGGCTGTGTGACACATGAAAATACACGACACAACTTACAGCTAAAATCCACTGACTGATTTTCAGGTTGGGTGAAATTGCTAAGAGAAATGTGTAGTATTCATTTTTTGAATTTGGGCTGAATGCTCACGTCAACATTCAGTGTTAATACTAATTTAGCGTATGCCACATATTCAGTCCAAAATGCTGCACCAGGTTTCTAAAACTGAAGTCAGTTCCTCAAAAGGTTGTTCACTTACAATAGTCAGTATTTAAAGCAGAAATTCCATCAACGTGACAGATGAGTCTTTCACCAACTAGCTTCCAGAGGCTTTCGTCATTTTAGTCACGATTCCTCACTGTAATGTACTCCCACATGCAGATCTGCAAGATGTGGTAACACAGTCTACAGTGACAGGCTGTTCTCACTGAACCACACCCCCTGTCAACCACAGCTTGTGAAGACCTAACACTTTATTATTATTAATATTATTTTAGCTTTCGATTCATTTGCAGAACTCTTATCATATTATTTTTACTTAAAGCAAGAATGCGTGACTTTTACGAATGAAATTAGATCACACTATGTTGATTAAGGCTATCACCGCCAGGTAAATCTTTCTGTGTTTGCAGTATACAGGACTTTTTTAATCTGGCTGCTATGGTGACGTTCCCGCGCTGTCACAACAGTAGTGATGTGTTTTATGCCAACCAGAAATTATTGGTTTGACAGAGCTGAAGGGGAGTGACCATAATGACAGTAGCAAGGACAGAGCCTATAAGTCATAAGTATGTGTCAACAGCGTTGTGTAATTATTCTCACTGTCAGAAGGGGTAGACAAAAATTCCCCCTTGAAAGTTTAAGATAGATCGAATAATGCTTGAAACAATATCAGTCATTTCCTAAGAAAATATATTTAATTAATAAAGGATTTTCTTAAAGCCCTGAAAACCTGGTTTCAAATCTTAAAAGGTGCCCAGTGGAGTGTTACTTAACCAAAACGCATTGTGGGTATCCTTGAGTTCTAACAAATGTGTTGATTGCATTGCCTTCCTCATAAAACATCTGCCAAGCTGATTTTAAATCTTGCATTGTCTGCATCCATGTTTGCTTACTAGCAGCTGTCTTTGTTGGCCCATTGCTATGTTTCTTTGGGGTGTTAGCTCCACGTACTATTAATCAGCAAAATGTCGTGGAACTAGCATCAGGAGGTGAATTACCCTGCCTATGTGTTAATTTATTTACTATGAAAATGATATGATATGTAGACATTCACATACATATGTACAGGCACACTTACACCCGCTCGAATATACACAAATTAAAAGTAACTAAAAGTCTATTCAGCATTGGTAGGAAGCTAAAAGCTTATACAAAGACCTCTTTTAAAAACTGAAGGCAAGATCAACAGAATTACAATAAGTAAAAATAAGGGACGGAAAGGCTACTACAAAATAAAGAAACAAAACCTGAATCTGCTCATAAAAGTATTGCTCTATAGCACTGCTAGTGGTCAAAAACTCCACAGGATATCTTTAAGTATTTTTCTATAACACTGAGAAACAGATATATTCATATATATATGTAAAGCTCTAATCAAACTGAAGTTTGGTGAAAAAAACATTTTTAGTTATTTAAGAGTTTAACATTCAAAAACTGAGGGTGTTGCTAAATTATGATTGGTGCACGGAAATACATGACGTCACTTTTTTCCAGCTGAGCCCCACCTACTTTAAACCAGTTGAGAAAAGCAAGGACAAAGACACAAAACCAGAAATCTCTGTCATGTGAAATAATTAAAAGTAAGAGTGAGAGCAACTGAGTAAGAAGCTGATTAAAAATATGTGTTTTCTAGGCCTGTGATAATATCTTGAAATTCACTAGTGCCAGGACAATGAACATTCCAGAAAAACTCCCCAGTGAAAAAAATACGTGGTCAGTACGCCTAAGCTGAGCAAAAGGCTTTAATAGAGAACAACAGATGAGTTCTCATATATTCTAAATAATCCAGTATAGTAATGAAAGTGTGATTTTTCCTGTGAAGTTGAAGTGGAGCAAATAATTCCATTTCAAGAGTGGGAGGACATCTCATTGCACAGTGTGTCACAGACTGTGATTACTCCAGCTGTGAAGACATACAGTCATATTAATCCCACAGTGAAGTTGCTCATTAGAGCTTGACCCAATACCCTTTGATCCACGCATTCCATGCTGTCTCTTCGTCTTGACATGGTGGTGTACATCACTGCAGGTGGTCCCCATGGCGTGTATTGCATGTACACTTTAATTAAAACACAATGTTCACCAGATCTCAGATACCAGAAATTAAATTTCCAAATATAGGCTACAGCATGTAAATCATATATACTGGGTACTATCAGGGTGCGAATTATACATTGACAATCGGGGAGGGGCAACTTTTTTCCCCCAGTTCATATAGGAACAAAAATTTTACAAAGCTTACAATATCCTTGCTTATTTAACTAATGTCTGCAGTCTGTAGATGATGACAAATCACATTCATTATCGGCTTGATGGGTGCCCCATACCACACAACAACCTTTGTAGTCAGGGGTCACCAAATATTGTAGAGCAAAACTGCCAGCAAGTCAGACACAACAACAGACCAGCATTTCCCCTCAAACACAGACCCACACAATACTGAACCAGTACCAAAGACACTATCAGAAAATACAGTATGCATTATCATCTCTAATTCCTCATTCTTATCATTTCAAGTTTCAGCTTACTCTTTTTAGCAAATATGTCCTTTGCTCTTGCTCATGTTGACTGTGAATGCAATGTTATCTGCGTTAAATAAAGCAGTAGTTACACATTGTTGGGGAATTGGGAACTTCGCTCCTTTTATGTCACACTTCTGTAAGATGTATCTTATATATTTCAGTGTTTGAAATGCCATGCATGAGTGAATAATATCACACTTGGCTTTGTTACCCAAATGTAATGTCTAAAAATATATGTACATTATACATTGTAAAGAATACGTTGGTTAAAACACATGGTACAGCTCGCTTTATAGTGGGTTTATAAGCTGCATCTAATGACTTGATTTGATGATTAATACATAATTTATTAATGCATTTTATCAGTCATTGATAGAGTCACTTTTGTGTTGTTCCAGGTTGGGAAAAATCCCTTTAACTGTAATTTATTGTCCTCCAGCATTCCATTTGCTTTTCCTTTTTAGCTAAATCTTGAGTTTATCAAGACTCCATAACCTAAATCTGACCACAAAGGGCTGCAGAGAAATCTGGACCAAACCTATCCATTTATTATCAACTGTTCAACATTTATATTATCTGCAGACTGTAAGTTGTAAGTGATTATAAAGCACTAGTCAAAGATTTATTAACCATTACTAAAGCCATTAGTTACAATTTATAAACCCATAATGAAGGGTGCCTTATTAGAAAATGGTGCCAAATTTGGCCAACTAACTATTATTTGGATTATATTAATATTTGGATTATGTTCAGTGAAAACTTTACATTGCAATTTTCACATTCAATTCAATTCAATTTTATTTATATAGTGCCAAATCACAACAACAGTTATCTCACAGCGCTTTTCATAAAAGAGCAGGTCTAGACCGTACTCTATGATGTTATGTTATGTTAGGTCCAAAACCCAAGCATAGGCTGTTCGGTTTACTTTCATACAGTATATGAAAAGGAAAAGCATCAAATGCTCATACTTGAGAAGCAAATGTTTTGCTTTAAAAATGACTAAATAGATTTATGGATTATCAAAATGGTTGCAGACTTCTTATGGGCTTATTAGCTAATGATATACAGTAAGTAAAAGTATAAGAGGAGACCTTCTCTAACCACTGTACAGAATGTATGTCACAATGTATCATTAATTAATGTATCTTTGATACAGAAACTAAATCCAATAAGTCTTTAGTGACTTCAATATGACACTGGGTAAAATTAAGAGTTGCATTCTTCTGCTTTATATTTTATATGCTGGAGCTGTCCGTGGTCCTGAACTTGTAATCTTACAGACCTGCCGTGTAAAAGTCTTTAATTGGCTGGCAACGTGCTAATTTAAGGCATACTATGGTAGAAACCATCATGTGAAGGGTAAAAACACTTCAACTGCATATAAAACATTCAAAAGTCTTATACTGCATGAAAAAATCTCTCTTCCATTCTCACTGTGGTCGTGATACCTCGTGTTCATCGGCAGGTCACATCTACCAACTTTATTTTTTATTTACCTCTACATCACGGCACCACAACCAATGGGATACTTCACAGCAAACCAAAATGTCACTGGGATGACGTTGTTGCTGGCGTAGGGCTGCAGTTTGATGGCTCCTACTAAATGAACGCAGTGGGAATGGACGATCAAGACACGCTGCTGGACAGACGGTGCGCACTGCTGACCTCCGCGCACATTATCAGTTCGGCAGAATTTCTCATCAGATTTTCACTTGTGAGGATTTCTGCCTGATTTGTGTTTTTCTTTGTAGAGATACGTGTTGGTTGACCTCCCCAACTGTATTCTTTATTATAGGACACGAGTGGTAAGTTTTGCGAAAATGATTGCTTAGGCTACATGTTTGTGACCCAGTCGCCTTTTAAACCATTGCATTGTGGTCCACAACAGACATTAAATGTTCTTGTGCAAAAGGCTTAAAGATATTTCTGAAGGGACAGGCTGAACTTGGCTCTGAACTATCGATCTTAGAGTCCTAAAACCCACTTTTTAATAAGAGAGGGGATAAATAGCATGGAGGAGAATATCTCGTTCGATTTGAATGATTTTTTCTTGACTACATAAGTAGTAGTAGTAGTAGTATTGTACTTGTGAAAGCGGTGTTAAGATTAATTGCACTTTGGTTTAAGATCCACTTCATTCTCAGCTTGTTTTCTGTCACATACTTTAAAATGAATGTAGCCTACTCCAGGACTCTACAAAATAAAATACCTTGTCAAGATAGACAATGAGATGTTGTTAAGGTCATAAATACTTAATGACATTTTTTCTCCCTTCTCCCTCTTCACCTGTGTTGGTCCCAGAGGACACAGCATGCTGCCGTCCCTGAAGACCCTGCTGCTGCTCTCGATCGTGTGCACACCGACCTCCAGCCTGTGCCTCCGCCTCTACCAGACCCGCACTAACCTCCTGTGCGACGACCAGATGGCAGTCGGGGTCCGGAGCGACAAGTTCGATCCGGCTTACTCTCCCATGGACGGCTGGGGGTCCCTCCTGCAGTCCGCGGAGTATCTCTCCTCCTCTTCCTCCTCCTCCTCCTCTTCTTCTGCTGAGTCCAGTCGGGAAAAAAGGACTTCTAGTCCCGCAAACTACCGCTTCATGAGCCGGACGAAGCTCAGAGGGCAGATGCTCCGCAACAGCAGCAAAGGGGACCGGAGGAGCAGGGTGACCCTGTCCCTGGATGTCCCGACCAACATCATGAACGTCCTATTTGATGTAGCCAAGGCCAAAAACCTACGCGCCAAGGCGGCCGAGAACGCGCGACTGCTGGCTCAGATTGGACGGAGAAAGTGAACCTGTTGGACAAACTTAGATTTAACAGACAGCCATGACCAGTGTTGGCCTCCTCGTTACTCAGTTATAAATAATTACTTCTTGTTCACTTTTAAAGTAATGGTATTGATTTGTTTCTTAGGGGAAGGGTATTACAGGTAAAAGAAGCATTTCTAATATCGTTTAAATGCTCTCATGTGAAAGGTCCTTGGAATCAAAGTCTCTTATATTCTTTTTTTTGGTGGGGGACAATAAACATTGTGAACTAATGAAACTTTCTGACTAACAGTTGGTTAATGCTTCTTGAATTTTAGTTTTAGGACAACTCCGCTTCAAACTCACAGATGATAACATTTGGCTGATACATTTAATAAAACTGAGTAGCCTACAGTTTGAGTTAAAACCCTGCCTTTGTGGTGAGAATAATCCATGAGTCTCTCATGCACCATCAGACATTGTAGCAACAGTTAATGTCTTAAGACAGAATTAAGTCAAGAGCAATAAGGGCCAGGGTTATTTATACTTGTAGCATGATGATTGGTCATTCCTTTCAAATCTGCAAAGAAGACTGGTGGATTTTTAAAAAATTACTTTTAAGATGGACTTGGGTTGAAATAATACCAAGCCCTTAGATTTTCTTTTTCAGTAACATGAATGTTTAATGTGCTTAGTTAGCCCCAGAGTCATCAAATTTTAATTATTGAACGAAACAGGAAGAACAAAGCAGTTGTCATTATTAATTCTTACATCCTTAGCAGAAGACCAATGGAATGTTTTCAAAATCATAACATTAGATTTGATAATACAATGTTTATCTCTTTACTACTTCATTTAGTTAGCTACTAAGAGGCTTGCTGATCAGGCATTCACATGGGAGGCTATAATGATTCCAGATTCTAGTGTGAAACATTGACAGTGGCAAAAACACAACACTGAATACTGACACTGAAACACTGTACAAGCCAACTGCAAGATGATGAAATACAGTAAAATGCAAAATGCATGGGAATGTATGTGTTCATCAGATGTCTGTTATTTTTATACTCAAAATAAAGGATTATTTTTCCTCAAATAAAGCAGATGTAACTAACTAATTTTTTTTGGTTTTGTAAATGGGATCCTTAAATATTCATGTATATATATATATATATATATATATATATATATAAATGAGTAAAATGGTAAAAAGGTTATGTTATGTATATGTGATGAATAACAGATTAGTATACCAAATATCAATACCAGCATCAGTCAGGCTCTCTGTGTATATTATGATGTAAAGAAATATCTGTCATCATAAACTTACATCAGTTTGATTTTAGTTCGTATGATTTAGATGGTCACCAGTCAAATGCTATTTATTTGTGTCAGTGGATGATAAGTTTGGTCATTGCACCAAACTAAACACTTTAGCAGCTATTAGGTTTTATAACTGGGGTCTTGTAGGCTGTATAGTTCACCTGTATGAAAAGAATCGAGACCCAGAGCAATGTCGACATCTTGTGGCCATTTGACCTTACAACACCCCAGGTGGTGAGTCAGCTCTGCAGGTGTGCATCTCACAGCCCACTCTGCTGATCCGGGGCGAGTTCAATCTCAAAACGTTTTGCACCGGTTCGCCACGTTTTCGGATTGAGCGACATGTTTCCTTGCAACATATGCATTGTTCCGCAACGGGGTTCGAGCTTCGAGTTATGTTTTCTCCCATTTGGTGGGCGTGTCACAGGTGTTACCCATCAGCTTCAGAATCAGAATCAGTTTTATTTGCCAGGTAGCCCATGTATACACATACGAGGAATCTGACTCAGGATTGTACATTGCTCACGATGTGCTTACTTACAATACAATAATAATAATAATACAATAATAAATCACACACAGACTACAGTATAGAGAACAAACAACAACTACAAACAAAAACAATATAGACAGACTGACAAAATAGTGCAATGACCAAATGCAAAGGATGCAGGAGTAAAATTGTCATTATTATGTACATGTCGGAGGTGGATGAGATACAATATACAAAATGACAATATGAACTTTATGTAAACACAACGCTGTTAAAAAGGCAGGAAAATGCATTGCGCTGGCGTACACAACAGGGTGTTCGAGGCACCACCGTTTCCGTTTGGAATAAAACTGTTTTTCTACGTTTGTCGGCGCTGAACTCGCCCCTAGTGTATCTCAATGAACGATACTACATACCTTAACATGCACAAGGTTGAATTACAAACCAGGCAAGATTGGCAACTTCTCTGGGACCAAAATCAATCAGAGGTCACTAGGTTCCAGGTTCACTGTGGCAATTAGACTACTTGCACGATATTAAAGCAAAATATGAAGTGGGTGAAAATAATAAGTTTTAAGGAGGCTCCTGCATATGATGCATAGCCCTAAATAAATTACCACAAACTAAACGACACTGCACAACAACCTGGGGCTGGCATTTTCTTTGCAGTGTAGTGGTAGTTGGTTTCTGGCGCTTTCAATAAAATAAAAAAATTAAAAAGTCAGCATTGCCCCCTGCTGGTCATGACGTGGGCTCCTCTGACGTATGTTCCGTTGACGTGGACGTCTCAACCGGAAGAGAGGTTTCATTTTGGCTACGTGGAAGTAGCTTCTCTTATGGTCAAACCTGAGAGCATCTTTTCTCTTCGTCCGCCAGCTTCATTCCGACATAATGATTAAAAAGTTTGATAAGAAGGACGAGGAGTCTGGTAAGATTGGAGAGTGAACTCTTTAAATGGTGACAGCATTTGAAAAATGAGAATCGTGTGTCCACTGCTAAGATGTTGGACGCTTTGGAGGCTAACGCTATACTAGCCTGTTAGTTAGCCGACTAGCTAAAGTTAATGATAGCTGTCAGGTTAAATAAACCTTATTTTATATTTATGTAGCCAGTATTGAAGATCAGTTATAAACCGATTTGCAGTTGCATTAAAATTGATATTGCTATTATTAGATGTCACAATAATACCAATGCCAATCCTACGCTTAGTTTATCGTTAGCATTGCAAGCTAGGCGGTGTCAGCTGGATGTTGTGATATTAGTTGTGCTCGTTAACAGACGTGTCCTCGTGAATTAAAAAGATCCTTTAATAAAACTTTAACAAGCTGGATGTAAGCATTTGTTTAAACATATTTTTTTAAAGAAGTGTACATGTGTTTTTTAGTTCTAACACGTAGCACACGCTGGCGTCAACTATGCTTCCTTTACGTGTGGTTGGCTTTGAATGAATTCCAATAAATTAATAAGACAAAGTTTAATGGCGCAGATTCTGACTCTATACTTTTCTGACATTTAGGAAGTGGGTCGAACCCTTTCCAGCATCTGGAGAAGAGTGCAGTGTTGCAGGAGGTAAAGTCCGGACTTGATACTACTTAAAACATGTTATGTACTTATATGTAGTGTACATATGAGCCAAACAAACCGATCTGAAATAATATAAGGTGTCCCTTCTTGTTGACAGGCACGTATCTTCAATGAGACTCCTATCAACCCGAGAAGATGCCTCCACATTCTCACCAAGATTATCTACCTCCTCAATCAGGTAAAATGTTCAAATCTCACAAAAGACGTAAAGTAGCTCTTTTTAGGTATTTATGTTGAATTGGTGTCTGTCCACCCATCTTAACTGGCTCACCCCCATGTGTTTGTTCATTTAGGGAGAGCATTTTGGGACCACAGAGGCCACAGAGGCTTTCTTTGCGATGACCAGGCTCTTTCAGTCCAATGATGTAAGATATTGTCCGTTCAAGTTCATTTTATTTATATAGCGCATTTTATAGCAGCCACTGACTGACCAAAGTGCTTTACAGAACTACAGAATTAAAAGACAATAATACCATGCATAACAGCACAGCATAGAAAAGTACAGCAAAGTTAAGAACAGCTTTAAACAGGAGTAGCCAAAGCAGTATCAGACTCATCAACAATAAAAATAAAAACAGAAATGCCTGTATCAGACTTAGATAGAAAAAACAGCATCAACAGCCATCTCAAGAGTTTTAGGATTAAGAAAATGTTTGACTTTTGACAACAGACGCAGTTGATAAAAACTAGAGCTTATTACGGAGGAGATTTGTTTATCAAAATTTAAAGACTCATCCAGTGGAACGCCCAGGTTTCGTACACTTGAAGATCTAAAAGCATCTTCATTCAGTCACTCATTCCTTACTTAATGAGGAAGAGGAATTTAAATTCATCATCAGACATCAGTCTTTAGTGTTCAAGTATAAATATAGTAAGCTTATACCGATTCTTTCTCTCTCAGCAAACCCTGCGAAGGATGTGCTACCTAACCATCAAAGAGATGGCCAACATCTCTGAAGATGTGATCATTGTCACTAGCAGGTTTGTTCCATGATGTTAAATGATTTGAGTATCACCTGTATGCAAGTAGTATTTTCTTGGCCAACAGTTTGTCCAGAGTTTGTTGTTTTAATGCAGATGTAATCATGCATTAACACCAGGGCACAACGTGACAGATCTGGATGTATAAAAACTAGATTTTTCTCTTGTTATGAAAGCTGCTAAATAGATTTGGTCTGTTTGACTATTTAAATTAATACAGGAGCACAACTCTTTGTTAAGGTGTTTTTGTAACTGTGGTAATGTGCTCTTTTCTGTTTTCATTTGAGGTAACAGTGTCTTTAATTATTCCTTGTGTGGTATTTTACAGCCTGACCAAAGACATGACAGGGAAGGAAGATGTATACAGAGGACCTGCTATCAGAGCCCTCTGCAGGATTACAGATGTAAGTTCAGTTTTATTTATTTTTTATTTCCTTGTCCTGTCTTCCCCATCTCTTTCTTGACCTTGTCATCTCATGCAAGAAAGAAAACATCCTGCATATATATTTTCAAATTCATATAGTTAATAAACTGAAGCATTGTTTGTTCAACATTCCCTGTCTTTTCCACAGACCACCATGCTGCAGGCTATTGAGAGATACATGAAGCAGGCTATTGTTGACAAGGTTCCCAGTGTGTCCAGTTCTGCTCTGGTCTCCTCACTGGTAAAAATAAAAATAATATATATATATATATATATATATATATATATATATATATATATATATATATATAGTATTTGGTGTTTCTGTATGACTGAGATAAAGTTGTGTAATTGTTTATCATATCATTGCTGGAGGGTAATGAAGTCCTTTATGTTTGTGTGTGTTTCAGCACATGGTGAAGATGAGCTATGATGTGGTGAAGCGTTGGGTGAATGAAGCCCAGGAGGCTGCTTCCAGTGACAACATCATGGTCCAGGTGACTTGTGAATTCCTGTTATTTTGAACCATCTTTTTTGTTTGTGTGTAAAGGGGTGGCTCGACTGGATTTTTATGTAGGTATATAAAAAGTACTCATAAAATTAATGTCTGTCTGTTTATGTCCAATCTTCCAGTACCATGCCCTGGGTCTGTTGTATCACCTCAGGAAGAACGACCGTCTTGCTGTCACCAAGATGCTCAACAAGTTCACCAAGTCTGGTCTTAAGTCTCCCTTCGCCTACTGCATGCTCATCAGGATTGCCAGCAAACTGCTGGATGAGACAGACGGAGGGTGAGTAGACCTCCAGTAATCTGATGCTCTAGTAGAGACAGACAAGGACATCAGGGAACATAGTACACCTGATTCCCCAATGATAAAATCATCTGTTGTCATCTATGGTATCTCTGTGTGGGACTACATGCATGGCGCAAACGTCAGGGTTGATGTCTTTTTGTCAGGTAGTTTACAACATTATATTCTGTCTTTATGATCCCAGTCACGACAGCCCCTTGTTTGACTTCATTGAGAGCTGCCTGAGGAACAAGAATGAGATGGTCGTGTATGAGGCTGCTTCTGCCATCGTCCATATGCCCAACTGTACAGCCAGGGAGCTGGCCCCTGCTGTGTCTGGTCAGTAGTTTGCTCACACCTCATTCATGTTTCATTTCTATGTGTATTGTTTGCTGAAAGAACAGAATCAAGTGGGGTTTCAGTTTGACTGTAAAATGAGCTGTCCTCTTCATATTGCTCTAATCTCATCGTTAATGCATTTGTCTTCCTGCAGTGCTGCAGCTCTTCTGTAGCTCTCCCAAAGCAGCCTTGAGATACGCTGCTGTCAGGACACTCAACAAGGTACAGCTTCACTCTCCATCCCTCCTTCACACGCTTGCTTTATGTATAATCATGAATCACTTTATTTAGTCCAAGGTTAGTTAAATAGCTGAGCTGTTCAGAAGTTGCATATGTATTAAGGCAGTATGAAAGTGGGTGTAGGTCCTTTTTGATTTTGCAGCTAGATACATAAGACATAGCTAAAAGTGCTTTGCAGTACTTTATTATTTGTCAGCCTTGACAACACACTGTTTATACTTAAATTTACAACAGATTATAATGCTGACTGAACTGCAACTTTCCTTTGTGTCCACCAGGTGGCCATGAAGCACCCGTCAGCCGTGACCGCGTGCAACTTGGACCTGGAGAACCTAATCACCGACTCAAACCGCAGCATTGCCACGCTGGCCATTACCACTCTGCTTAAGACCGGCAGTGAGAGCAGTGTCGACCGACTTATGAAACAGATCTCCTCGTTTGTCTCCGAGATCTCGACGAGTTCAAGGTCAGACGCTTTTGATTTAGTTTAATCCTGTGTCAGATAATGCAGTACAACTAACTCCATTCACGTAGGGTGTTCGTGTGTTACAATGAGTGGGGAGCCCCTACTTTAGCCAATATATTTGAAGTTGCTTAAATACCCTCAATAAGGGCTCCATAGAGAATAGGAAAAAATATATAGTTTTTTACACAGATAAATAAAACACATAAGATACCTAAAAAATGAGTCTTACTATCAGAAAAGCCATCAAACACACTTTTTGAAATAAAGGCCAGGCTGAAATTTAAGTTGCAAACGCATAACAATCAGGAGTGTCATTGTCCTGTGGCTGAATGGTGTGTTGGCGCTGTAACACAGTGCTTGTTGAAAGTGTGAGAATGTGCCATAACGAGGTGTTATCACCCAGGATTTCAGCTTCTGCGGCCACAAAAGATTCATTTCCAACATGAGATTCACGATCTCTTTTTTTTTTTTTTTTTTTTTAATCCTGTTATGTTCCAGGTGGTGGTGGTGCAGGCCATCAGCGCTCTGTGCCAGAAGTATCCCAGGAAGCACAGTGTCATGATGAACTTCTTGTCCAACATGCTCAGAGATGATGTAAGTTGATTATGAACAGACCACTGACTATCCTTCACGCGTTGGCCTTTGCCTTACAGGGGGAGCCTCCTTATCAGGGATGTCCTTACCTATACAGAAAACTTGCTATAAAGATGCATGTTGTTATCACAGTTGGCAAAAGATAAAATAAGAGAACATAAATAAAAAGAGTAAAATTTGTAACATGCATAAGTAACATCATATTACTATCCAACCGATGATTATTAGGGCTCAGTCTGTTTGTCCATATATTGAGTTATGGGGCCACATACATGCATCTTGTGTGTATGCAACACAGTGTTTGTGTTCTAAATTGAGCACAAGACCCACAGTGACGGTCTCTCGTTTCCCTGAAGGGCGGTTTTGAGTACAAGCGGGCCATCGTGGACTGCATCATTAGCATCATCGAGGAGAACCCAGAGAGCAAGGAGACTGGCTTGGCCCACCTCTGCGAGTTCATTGAGGACTGTGAGCACACTGTGCTAGCCACGAAGATCCTGCACCTGCTGGGCAAAGAGGGCCCGCGCACCCCGCAGCCCTCCAAGTACATCCGCTTCATCTTCAACCGAGTGGTGCTGGAGAGCGAGGCTGTCCGTGCAGGTGAGACAGAGTGGGATACTACACTCCACAGCGTTGAATTTGTTGTATTTCCACTTACTTCATCTCAACCTTTGACGCCTTTAGAGGCCGACCTTTAACATGCATGTCAAGTGTCCATGCCAGCACTACTCTTGACACTACATGACATCCAGTTTATAGATAAATATATTTACCCTATTTAGTTTTACTTTTTAGAACCAGCTCAAACATTTGTTTATTCTTCCACCCGCAGCTGCTGTCAGTGCTTTGGCTAAATTTGGAGCTCAAAATGATGATCTGCTGCCAAGCGTCCTGGTTCTCATGCAGAGGTACTCATTTACTTTCATTTGTTTGTTTGTTTTTCTTGTGTAACTGTGTATCACTGCATCTTTGTGGGAAAATACAACGAGAACACTGGTTAAAGCTGGTAATCTGATTGTGAGACTCCTTAAATGTGAGACATACCCTGTACTATACATGTGAATTTGAATGAAAATGTGATGTATGACTTTGACACGCGTGTCTGTTCTCATAGGTGCATGATGGACAGTGATGATGAAGTGCGCGACAGAGCTACTTTCTACATGAACGTGCTACAGCAGAAGCAGAAGGCACTGAATGCTGCCTACATCTTCAACGGTAAAGACACACAAACTCGGGGATCACTGTCAGGGAGTTTGATGAGCGAACAACGTGTGGGATTGTGGTTCTTAGTGGCTGCTGGTCAAAATGTACAAACCACACATGCTTAGAGCACCGTGCTTGGGTTCCTGCCTGGACACTTGTAGGAAAAACTCTCGGCAGATAATGTAAAAAATGTCACGTTTTAATGTCTCTTCTTCCATGTGCTGCTCTCAGGTCTGTCTGTTTCCATCCCTGGCCTGGAGAAGTCCCTCCACCAGTACACTTTGGACCCCTCAGAGAAACCTTTCGATATGAAGTCCGTCCCTCTGGCCACCACTCCTATCACAGAACAGAAAACAGGTACTGCCACATGCGCTTAATTGTTTTGCTTATAATCATTATCAGGAATAAGATAGTGAAGGAGTGTGTGTTTAAAAGTAAATACATAAATCTCTTCCCAGAAATCGCCCCTGTTGCCACCAGCAAATTGCCAGAAAAGCTGGCCCCATCGCGCCAGGACATTTATCAGGGTAAGATTGTAATCTGTGTCTGTTGGTCATCAGATTCATGAGTATGAGTGTGATACAATTACACACTGATTCCCTGTCGTACTCTGGACTGATGTTATTAATAAAATGCCAGTCTTTGTTTTAATCTCTCTCTGCTTTCCGTCCTTCTGACAGAACAACTGGCGTCCATCCCAGAGTTCCAGGGTCTCGGCCCGCTCTTCAAGTCATCTGAGCCGGTGCAGCTGACGGAGGCTGAGACGGAATACGTGGTGCGCTGCGTCAAACACACCTTCGCCAGGCACATGGTGTTCCAGTTTGACTGCACAAACACTCTGAATGACCAGCTCCTGCAGAAGGTACCAGCTGAGAGGGGGTTTTGTTTCATGATCATGTGGGTTTTATCAGCAGGGATTGTTCTGCAGATTCAGTTAGATCTTTTTCTATAAATATTTATTTGGGCTTGGTCAAGTGACAAGGTTTTAAAATTGTTTCTGGATTTCAAACATGGCAGTAGTTAAACTAAAACCACCGGGAACAAAGTTGGTATGAATATAACTGGTGGCTCTTTGTGTCAGGTCCTAGTGCAAATGGAGCCATCGGAGGCCTATGAGGTAATACACTACGTTCCAGCCCCCAACCTCGCCTACAGTCAGCCCGGTTCCTGCTACACTTTGGTCCGCCTGCCTGACGATGACCCCACTGCTGGTAGGGACACAGAAACATTTATTGGGCTCATGGGAGCGGTGACAGTAAGAAGGGTTTGAATGGATTGTTAAAGAAACTGAGAGTTCATAACATTTAGATCAAACAAACAGGTTAATCCAAGTCATTCAGCAATATCAAATATTGTTAAATATAACTTACCTTATGCTCATGGTCAAAAATAATGTTTAAGCTGCAAACTGTGAGAGAGGGTTAAACAGCATTGGCCATATGTGGCAATGTAAGAAAACTGTGTTTAGATGTGTCCGATCTGTCCACAGTGTCTTGTACGTTCAGTTGTACTATGAAGTACCTGGTCAGAGACTGCGACCCAAACACAGGAGAGCCTGACGATGACGGTTATGATGATGAATATGTGGTATGTAATCATAGCACATCAATAAACCCTAACTACAAAGAGAATGTGTGTATTTTCAGCAGCGTAAATTGACACTATTATTAAATTATTGGCCTCTAACTCTTCTCTCTCTGTCCTTCGATCTTTCTTGTCCTCCTCTCCCCTGCTCTTCCTCAGCTGGAGGATCTGGAGGTGACGGTTGCCGACCACATCCAGAAGGTTTTGAAACCGAACTTTGGAGCGGCGTGGGAAGAAGTGGGAGATGAATTTGAGAAGGAAGAGACTTTTGCCCTGGCGTCTGTACGGACCCTAGACGGTATGCAGAAGTCTGGAATTTAAGCTCAAATCATGAATGCCAAGTCAAAAAGCAAAGATCAAGGTGGAAGTTAAGAGGTTTATTTCTTAAAATAGATGTAAGTTTTATTTGAGCTAAATATTTAGCATTCACTTGTAGTTCACACGATAGACACGCATGTTAAGTTTCATTACTTCTTGTGTATTTGTGCAAATAACTGCTTCCAGAGTTTTACACAGTATGTTAAACAATGCCATTTTTGGTTTATGCAATAACTGACCCCCAGTGTTATGTGACTATATATGGTTTGCTTGTACAGAGGCGGTTGGTAACATCATCAGCTTCCTGGGAATGCAGCCATGTGAGCGCTCAGACAAAGTTCCCGAAAACAAGAACTCGCATGTCCTCTTCCTCGCTGGTGGGTGTTCAAAGCAAAAAAGCATTTGGTCACTGTTTGGTCTTTAAAAGAATTAGTTCTTTTATTGCTAATTGCTTCCTTAAAAAATGTAATCACTTAGAATGTAGCCTTATGCAAGATTAACTTGTCTCTAATGTAACTATATAAGATTTATTTGGGCACCAAATCCCACACCCAAGTACAAATCGCAGATTGAATTTAGTCATTCCAAATTTTGTAGAATATTGTATGAAGTTCAATTGGCAACGAGAAGGATGCTTTCATTTAAGTATTTTAAGTTGTGTACAGTTAAATTTAGCTTATTGTCTTATTTAGATACCGTTTCTAAAAACATAAAACTTGTCGTATAGAAAAATACCTTCTTAATTGGCATGCCCAGTGAATTAAGGTCCTGAAAGGTGTGATTTAATTGGCACTCCCTCCCTCAGGTGTGTTTCGGGGAGGTCATGACGCGCTGGTTCGTGCTCGCCTTGCTCTGGCTGATGGCGTCACCATGCAGGTGACTGTTCGCAGCAGTGAAGAGACGGTCGTTGATGTCATCCTGGCGTCCGTGGGCTGAAGTTCTTCACAGTGCAGCGTCGTGCCAAACGCAGCCCCAAGACCTGTCACCTCTGCACGACACACCGCCTGGGCCATCACATTGTTCTATTCCACAGCTCTAAAATTTAATGTATAATATTGTGATTATTATGCCGACACCATTGAACCTGAAAAACATACATGTTTTATTACTTCCAGTATATGAACTGTCTTTCTTTACTGTTAATACCATTAGACTGTCTGCTGGTCCTCAAGTTTGTTTTCTTTGCAGTAAGATTTTTTTTCTTCTGCCAAATCTTCAATAAATTCTGACATCAAATTGTACATCAGGTTTCAGTCATTCAGATAAGACACTCTTTTTAAACAAAACTAGCTTTATTTGAAGAAAAGTTGACGTTTAGATTTTTCATTGACATCAAGAGGAATGTAGAAAATCATATCAAAATCCATTCAGAGTGCAGCCGATTGCTGGGCTTCACAGAAAATGGAGGGAATCAAAACAGTGTCCCAGATGAGTTCAATAATCGCATAACTAAGTATTCAGTTGGCTGCATTAAGTACAATGAATCAAGTTTCTAGCTGAGCTATATCCGATGTCTTCCAGTTCTAGTAACTGACATTTTAGGGATGGCTGCTGCCATCATTTGTGATGAAATCTGAAACTGATGCAGCATTTCTCCCAGTTACAATCACCATTCATCACTTTGCGCTAAAAGTGTTGCAGAAGCACCAAACTGCTTGTACGGTTCTGGATTCATTTTCAAACATGGATGTTGCATTTGGCTTCCCTTCAAAAAGAGTGAATAAAATTGAAGTATGCGTTGAGAAAGCCAGTGGGGTCTTCCAGCTGAGGGTAGTGGCTGATGTGTTCATCCAAGATAGTAACTGTCGACCTCTGGACTAGCTGCCTGCAGGAACAAGATACATATTTAAGATAAATTAGATTATTACAGACCAAAGGCACAAAAGAACTGATGAGTGCTTGGACCTGAAGATGAACATGGACATGCACTGAAGCACACACACTTGTGTACTGTAGCATTATTTTAATTCAAACTAAGTGGAAAGCACAAGATTTAAATCATGACTTTCTGACTACATAATTCTTTAAAACAAATGTAAGTTGATCCTATCACAGTTCTTCCTCTATAATATAAACAGAAAAATCATTGGCGCACTCTTCCAAAGGTTTCTGGTTCAAACCCAGCCTGTATTCAGACGAACTAATTGGAGATTTTGTGCTAAAGATGGTTGCGGCGGTGAAGTGGAAAGGCATGTGCCTCTCTTACATGAGGTTGCTGAGTCTCTGGGGAGAGACGACCGAATGAGATTCCCCACTGTGCGTGAAAGTGAGGGAAGCTCGGTGGACAGACTGAGCTGGGGCGAACCCACGACATTCCCAACTGTATGTAAGAGTAAAGATGGCAAAACTCAGTAAACAAAATGTCGCATGCGATTCCCAAGATTATGTAACATAGCTGTGAACTGTGAAATCTCTGTAATTACAAGACAAACAAGTGCAGAGGAAAGTCCATCGTCAGCTGGAGTGAAGCAAAAGAGTTTGTGAATACAAAAAGGAAGGTAGGGGTTTTTATCTAAACATAAAGCAAAAGCAATGTCTACAAACAAAGATAATGTGCTTTGTTAGGAAGAACACTCCCTCTCACCCTGGTGTAATTACTACAGTTGAGGGTGTGGCATTAGATCACTTGGTAGTGTGGCTAGACAGCACTCTGTCTTATTCCCATTCTCATTACATGTCTGCAGGTAAGGGGCTAGATGTTCTTTATGACTCATCAATCAGATTTTTATTTATTTATTTATTTTAATTATGTATTGATTTGTCACCGGGCCGGACAGGGGGGCAGACACGGGGATGGGGGGGCACAAACAGACAGCACAGAGAAAGGACAAGACCTGTAAGAGAAGGGGGAAAGGGGGATGGAAGGTGGGGACAACAGGGAAAAGCAGTGGGAAGCACCAATTGCAGAAAGCAACAAAACCTGCAATAGAACAGAGAGGGGGGCTTGGGGAGGAGAAAAACACAACAAACAAACAAAACAAAAACAAATAATAAAAAAATAATAATAATAGTAAAAGACAACCAGCCGAACAGCAGCAATGAACAGCTGACATAGTAAGACGAATAAGAGAAAAATGAAAACAAGAAACAGTCACACACACTAAATAAGCAACACAGCAGAGCCACGAGAGCTGGAATAATAATTAATTTAAATAAGTAACTGAAAGAAAAGCATCAGGAATAATTCTACCAGGGACAACCTAAATTTATTTGTGTCTATGTGTGAGACTGATTGTGTCTGTGTGCGTGTGGGTGAATGTGTGTGTGTACATGTGTGTGCGCATAAGCCTGTTAAAGAATGTAGTTGTTAGTGAGAGTGGGATGCCACGACTGTGCCACACCTACCCCAGCAACAGGCAGGCAAGAACCCCAGTAGCCAATAGGGGTGGGAGAAAGAAAAAGAATAAAAACTAAGGCCGCCAGCGCCAGCCGACATCCCCCATGCCCAGCACGCCCCCCGGCCGCCATGCAACACCAGCCAAACCAGCAACGAGGCAAAATCAACTAGCTCAGCTGCATGCCACCAACAACCCACCCACCCGTCAAGGGCCGAGAACTCCAGGCACAAACCCAGAACAAACCGGAGCACAACCCTGCCCCGCACCCACACTGCACATCTCGAAAACTAACTATATACCTCAGTATCCAGAGGGGTCCAACAACTGGCCGACAGAGAAATGGGGAAGCATGGATCCGAGGCCAACGAAGCAAAACAGGGACGCATACAGGTCCCTCCAAGCCAACGAGGAAATGCCTCCCCCGGACTCCAATGCACAAACTAAACGCCCAGCAGCCATTCAGAGACCGTGCCCAGGGAAAAAGCACAATGCATCAAGATGCATCGACAATTGCCCCACAATCCCACCGCAGCCCACCAAACCGCAATCGGATCAACCCGCGCAGAGACCCCCACGCCCAGAAGCCAGGGCACCCTGCGACCCCCCAAAGTGCAAAGGACCCCGGGGGAAGCTGTACCCCGCCCCAAGGAAGAACAGCAGAATGCCGCGCCAGGAAGCTCCCTGCCGCCAGGGAGCGATAAAGCGGGAGAACCAGGCCAACGGTACCCCAGCCCAGCCAGAGGCATCCCTCCTTACAGTGCAGGCAGTGCCAGCAGCCCCCGAGGCCGATCTCATCCCCGGACGGGGGCCCAGCACCCCCAGTCAAGCACCCCCAAGGAGGAGCACCAAAACCTACCCTGACAACGCCGGCCATGCGCCCCAGAGACTCCCGAATGCCCCCACTGTGAGAGAGCTGGCAGGGGGAAGCAGCGGGGGCCTCTCCTCTGCCGAAGAGGGCCCAGGCGAGGAGAGGAGACAACGGGCCCCCAGGCCCAGGGACACACCACCCGCCCAGAAATGAGCAAAGGCCACAAGCCCGAGTCCCCAGAACCCTAGGTCAAGGGCGGGCCCCCACGCCAGGGGAGCCCCGACCCCCCCCAGCCCACCCCAGATCAGGCAAGGCCGTCACCAACCCCACAGCACCCCCGACGCCCGGGGCTCCAGGGGTAGGACACTTGGCCAATGAGAATCTCCCCGACTCCTTCAACCCCTCTGCCTGCCTCTGTACATGTATTGTTTTGTGTTGGATGCATGTCATGGATTGTGAAGTGTTGTATGGTGGAGTAAAGATAAGGTGTGTGGTAACTAAGGTAAATTGGAAGGTAGACACAGGCACCCCACAACTGTCAGGTAGTGGAGCCTCCCATCGTGACCCTCCCACCCCCCAAGCCCTCTGTGTCTAATGTGTAATTAAAATTGAGGGGCGGGCAGTGGGGGAGGAAGAAGTGCGAGGCCGCAATAAAGCAGCCCCACCCCCCAAACGCCCTGCAGGCTGCCCGCCCCCCAGGGTCCTAAGGGTGTATGTTGTGAGACATGACCAAAGGGGGAAAGGTGAAGGAGGTCATAGGGAGGCTAGAAGACCAGATTCCTGACTGGCCCCATCATTCATTCAGTCCCGTCCACCACCCCCATAAGCAGGAGGACGCCACTGCCTTGCATTACATGCTCTAGATGTCTTATCCCTTTGTCATACCACAGTGGGGAATTTAGTGTTTTCTTATTTTGCAGGATGTCAGGATTATTCCAGATTGGGGTAAATCTGCATGAGATAGGTGAAGCCCCAGATATTTTGAGAAGTTCCCACCAAGCTGCCAAGGAAGTGCTTATGTTAATGCTTTTAAAGCAGGTATGACGTTTGATGCTGGAACTGATGAATGACATATCGGAAATTTTAATTTCCTTACACAATGTTTGTTCTACGTCCATCCATGAGTGGTCCAGGGGGCTCTGATTGATCCATTTTGAGATATATTGTAGTCTATTGGACAGGAAGTAATGATAAAAATTTTGCAGTTCTAAACCACCACAGTCTTTTGCTTTTTGCATAGATTTTAAACTGATTCGTGGGGGTTTATTTTTCCACAAGAATTTTGAGATGTTTGAGTCCAGTGATTTAAACCAGACAGCAGAGGGTTTGGTGGGTAACAACAAAACAGGTAATTGATTTTAGGTAGGACCATCATTTTTATGGTGGAGACTCTTCCCATGAGTGATATAGGTAATGATGTACAAGGTCATCCTCTATTGATTTAAGTAAAGGCGTGTAGTTTAGCCACGTCAGATCTGACAGCCTGGAGGAAATATTGACACCCAGATATTTAATATTCCCAGACTTTAGCGGTGTGGTAGATATACTCTGGAAATCACACTTTACAGGTAAAACTATGGATTTACTCCAGTTAATGGAGTAGTCTGAGATGGATGAGAATTTATCTATAAGTGTGATTGTCTCAGAAAGAGAAGTTTGTGAGTTTAGGAGGAAAAGTAATACATCATCTGCATAAAGGCTTATCTTGTGGTGTATATTTTCTGTTTGAATTCCTTTAATATTATTATTTTGTCTGATAGCAGCTGCTAGTGGTTCTATAAAAATAGCAAACAGCGAGGGAGAGAGTGGGCAACTCTGCCTGGTACCCCTCTGGAGACTAAAGCATGGAGAAGTATGATCATTTGTTTTGACAGAAGCTCTTGGGGAACTGTATAAGATTTTAATCCAATCTATGAAAGAGTTTCCAAATCCAAATTTATATAAAGTAGCGAATAGAAATTTCCAATTTACTCTGTCAAATGCTTTCTCTGCATCTAAAGAAACAACTGTAGTTTACAGGTTATGAATAGTGGCATAGTCTATTATGTTAAGTAGCCTGCGTGTATTGTTGGTGGAGTGCCTGCCCTTAATAAATCCTGTTTGGTCAGAGTGTATTATACCAGGAGTGACCTTCTCTAGCCTTCTTGCTAGGGTTTTGCAGATGATTTTAAGATCTGCGTTAATAAGTGATTTTGGGCAATAACTGGATGGGAGTGTGGGGTCTTTGTCTGGTTTAAGGAGCAGGTTGATATTAGCAGAGTTCATTGTTGGAGGTAACATGCAAGTACCCCTAATTTGCATAACCATCCTATAGAATGTGGAGTTCAGTGGGAAAACCATCTGGCCCAGGGGCTTTATTATTCGGCATATGTAAGAGAGCTTCCTGGAGTTCAGCCAATGAAACAGGTGAATCCAGAGCCCTGATCTGTTTATCATCTAACCTTGGCAAATCTATATTGTTCAGAAATGCATCGATGTTAGAGCTAGATGGATCAATTTGTGATGTATATAAGTTTTTATAATAATCTCTGAATGCATTGTTGATTTCTTCTGGGTTATAAATCAGATTCCCAGCTGAGTCCTTTAAGGAAGAAATAGTTATTTTTTCTTTATTCAAGTTCAATTGGCTGGCTAAGAATCTGCCGGATTTATTGCCATGTTCAAAGTTCTCCAAGCGTAGTCTTTGCAACTGAAATTGGGTCTTTTTATTAATAATTTCATTTAATTCAAGTTTTGATTTTCTCAGATCATTCAGCATGTGTTCCTGTGGGGAGGTAGCAAGGGTAGTTTCTAATGTTTTTATTTTTTGTTCTAGCTCTAATTCACAAGATCTCTCTTTCTTTTTTTGTATGATGAATAGGAGATTATTTTACCTCTCATGACTGCTTTTGCTGCCTCCCAAAGAAGACATGGCGAGGTTCCTGGCAGGTCATTAGTTTCCATATATATTGCCCACTCCTTTTTGAAGTAACTTATAAAATCTAGGTCTTTAAGCAATGATGCATTAAATCTCCAACTTCTAGTTGGCCGTGTGACCCTTTTTTTTAGATTTGCCGCCAATGCTCCCTGGCCTCTGTCAGGCGCGCACAATGATGACGCACTGAATCCTTACAGGACATATCAATGCAATCTGTACACCTTCATAGACAGGCCATCACTTCATACTCGAATTAAGATCCCCTGGTTTATGCTTATTTTTAAAACCCTCTTAGGCATAACTCCTCCCTATTTGGATGTCTACTTATCCCTACTCCTCCACCTACATCACCTGCTCTTCAAGTCACATGCAGATTACAAATCCCTACAGAAAACAACGCTAGGTCGCACTGCCTTTCAGTTTGCCGCGCCCAACGATTGGAACCAACTACAAAAAAAAACTATAAAACTCTCCACTCTAGTCACCACTGCCACTTTTACTTACTCATTTACAGAAACCTGTAACTGCTTCATGTGACACTGTGTTTCTTTCATGTTGCCCTGCTGCTGTCATTTCATTTAACTATTGTGCCATTTGTTGTATTTGTCTACTCTCAGTAGATTATGGTATGTCTTGGTATGGTGTGTTTCTTGTTGTCTTTGTTTTCTTACTCTTTCATTTGGTTTCTTTGTGTCTTTTTGCCTGGTTTTTAAGGTTTGTTGTTGGGACTGTGTTGTCCTGCGTCTTCTGTCTGTTGTTTATGTTATTTAATTTAAACCCAGTACCCATTCTCTACAGGAGGCCTTTGCATCCTCCCAAGCCGTTATTGTAAATTAGAATCCATTCTTAATTGACTTTCCTGGTAAAATAAAAGGTATAGTAAAAAAGTGCTTTTTCTGTTCAAAAAATTCTTATTTGCACAGACATTATCTTATATTCGTAAATGCCACACAAGTCATAAGACATGAACTAATTTCTAAAGGGTGAGACATTTTTCCTAACTTGTGTCTATTGAAATCAAGTCACAGTTTCATAGCTGAACAATGAACTATGTTGAGACTTTTTACATAAAGTCTATCATATGTTGTTCAGCTCAAATCACAGAGAATTGCAGAAAATAAGAAAAGATTTCAGACATTCTGTAAAACTACCCATTCTCCTTTTAATTAGTCCTCATTCACATTCGAAGAGTGAGCTGAGAGAAGCTCTGCCAGGAGATGAGTGTATTACAGATAATCTGAACGGGGTTTAAAAGTCAGAGGTGGGGGAACTCACTGGTAACGATGGATGAACTGGGGATGAGGGTTGACTGGGTCCAGGGGTCCGTAGATCATGTGCACTGAAAGACAAGGAGGGATGAAAAGATGGAGGGAGCAACACTGAGAAATGGAGGAGTGAAACAAAAGGGAGGTCTTAAAGGACAGTGGCTCATTTTAAAATTGGAAGTTAACAGCAAACTGAATTTCAGAATTGAAAAAAATAACCTACATATGTTCTGAATATGGGTAAATCACATAGGTAGTATACATAATGGACCGAATGTTTAACTGATGGACTAATGACTAAGTATGGATGATCAACCAAACTGACAGCTGAAACAAGTAGTAAACACAACCCTGACACATTATCACCATTTAAGCTGACATAGCTAATTTGTTAGCCAACAGTTGCTTATTTACAAATCCAGCAGTTATGGAGCAACGTTAACTCTCAGTTTGAGTCACCTTTCTGTCCATGTGATGAATCCTGAGCCAGATATTAACTCTCCTTTTAGCTCTGTTCAATTCAATTCGAATTAGCTTTACTGGCATGTATAACAACAATATTGCAAAAGCATCATACAAACTACATAAGAAAAATCAACCCCATACATTTCATTAAACAAGTAATTAAAGCTTAAAGCAATTAAAGCGTATGTGTTTGTGTGTGTATGTTAAAAAAATTAAATATATTAAAAATTAAAATAAATAAATAAAACAGTAAGCGTGTGTGTGTGCTAAAAAATACAAATATATTAAAAATTAAAATAAATAAATAAATGAAACAGTAATGTGTTATTATAATATATTACAAATTTAAATAAAATAAATAGATAATACCGTAAGAGTGTGTTTGTGTGCGTATATTAACACTAGTTTAATTGAAGAACGACCAAGTTCTTTTTAAGCTTTATTCGTCGAGCTAATCCCTCCAACGGCGGACACAGCCATGTGGCCCGCCTGCAGTAACAAAGGATGACCAAACCTCTGACCCAAGCCAGGATTTGAAAAGGCCCCCACTTGCGAGTTTCTTCAATAAGCCGACAAAAGACGGACTTCCGGAGCAATTCCCTGGCAGAGAAAGGATGGCTTTAAGCTGTCCTAACCGAGAACGCACGGAACTCCGCCAGCGTGAGGCCGCCTAACATTACCAGTACCCCGGCTGGGAGAAGCGACAAGCAGTAAGACCAAAACCCTGCATTCTGTGGTCAGTGATGTCCAATAGCCTGTTAATCCATTATCTTTAGTCCTTAAACTCCTAGACAAATTTAATCGAGTTAGTATCATCTAACTACTTTCATTAGTTCTCTTCCGCCGTATGAGTCAAATCCTCCCCTACAATAGAACCCCACATTCTCATTGTTTAGCCATTGTTTATTTCTTGGATGTATATTTAACCGCATTTTTATATTCACCTTAATTAGTTAATAAAATTTCACTGTAATCAAAGGAATTGTGTGTGTGTTGCCTAACTCCAAGTCCCTGCCATGAGAATTTACCCCTTTGATATGAGACTGACTGATTGATTTAAGATAATTGAGCGATTATTAACTAACTGATCACTAGTGAATAATTGTATAATTATTAAAACGCTACCCAGAGGTCCGGAGACTCTGGGCGAATTGGATCTCCGGTGGTGCCCTGCGAAACGAGAGCTTTATGACTAATAAAAAATAGAAAATAATATTCTCTGAATATTAAAATTCATAATTTTGTATTCTCATAAATTTATTAGATCAAATGTAGGAATGTTACAATTAAAAACAATTACTAAAATATCAAACAATCAAAATAATAATTTGAAAATTTGTACAATTATTTATCAGGCTGAGTTTCCACTGGTTGTCCTCACTTCATGGCATGAGGAGACATATTTTGCAGCAATTATTTCACATTTGGGCATTTCTCCCAGTAAACAGGGGAGTTTCTGTGTGTCTGATATGAATTCGAACTTGGGGTATATTTGAGAAAAGTTTTTTTGCCTTAGTGTTTTATACAGGTGCTGGTCATATAATTAGAATTTTGTCAAAAAGTTGATTTATTTCAGTAATTCCATTCAAAAAGTGAAACTTTGATATTATATTCATTCATTACACACAGACCGATATATTTCAAATGTTTATTTCATTTAATTGTGATGATTAAAACTGACAAGTAATGAAAATCCCAAATTCAGTATCTCCGAAAATTAGAATATTACTTAAGACCAATACAAAAAAAAAGTATTTTTAGAAATGTTGGCCAACTGAAAAGTATGAACATGTACAGCACTCAATACTTAGTTGGGGCCCCTTTTGCCTGAATTACTGCAGCAATGCGGCATGGCATGGAGTCGATCAGTCTGTGGCACTGCTCAGGTGTTACGAGAGCCCAGTTTGCTCTGATAGTGGCCTTCAGCTCTTCTGCATTGTTGGGTCTGGCGTATCGCATCTTCCTCTTCACAATAACCCATAGATTTTCTATAGGGTTAAGGTCAGGCGAGTTTGCTGGCCAATTAAGAACAGGGATACCATGGTCCTTAAACCAGGTACTGGTAGCTTTGGCACTGTGTGCAGGTGCCAAGTCCTGTTGGAAATTGAAATCTGCATCTCCATAAAGTTGGTCAGCAGCAAGAAGCATGAAGTGCTCTAAAACGTCCTGGTAGACGGCTGCATTGACCTTGGACCTCGGAAAACACAGTGGACCAACACCAGCAGATGACATGGCACCCCAAACCATCTCTGACTGTGGAAACTTTAGACTGGACTTCAAGCAACGTGGATTCTCTGCCTCTCCTCTCTTCCTCCAGACTCTGGGACCTTGATTTCCAAAGGAAATGCAAAATTTACTTTCACCAGAGAACACAACTTTGGACCACTCAGCAGCAGTCCAGTACTTTTTGGCTTTAGCCCAGGCGAGACGCTTCTGACGCTGTGCAGAAGCACTGACTCCAGCTGCAGTCCACTCTTTGTGAATCTCCCCCACATTTTTGAATGGGTTTTGTTTCACAATCCTCTCCAGGGTGCGATTATCCCTATTGCTTGTACACTTTTTCTACCACATCTTTTCCTTCCCTTCGGCACTCTATTAATGTACTTGGACACAGAGCTCTGTGAACAGCCAGCCTCTTTAGCAATGACCTTTTGTGTCTTGCCCTCCTTGTGCAAGGTGTCAATGGTCGTCTTTTGGACAGCTGTCAAGTCAGCAGTCTTCCCCATGATTGTGTAGCCTACAGAACTAGACTGAGAGACCATTTAAAGGCCTTTGCAGGAGTTAATTAGCTGATTAGAGTGTGGCACCAGGTGTCTTCAATATTGAACCTTTTCACAATATTCTAATTTTCTGAGATACTGATTTTGGGGTTTTCATTAGTTGTCAGTTATAATCATCAAAATTAAAAGGAATGAACACTTGAAATATATCAGTCTGTGTGGAATGAATGTATACTGTCACGATCGTGGTGTGGAGGCAGGTTGGAGAACCCAAACGCAGGACACAGAGCGGGGCAGGTATGGTACACGAAGGGTTTTAATAAACAAACAAAAGCGAGCACACTTACAGGTGAGTGGCTGAATAACTGAAATCCAAAATCCAAAAGTACCGGGAGACGAGACAAGACGAGACAAGCAAGGCTGGTTACAGGCAGAGAGTACACACACGACAGACTGGGGGGTAACATGAACAATGACCGGACAAGGACAAGACAGAAACACCAGGTATATATACACAGGGACTAACGAGCAGGGCGGGAGCAACACAGGTGACAGACATGAGACTAACGAGGCAGAGAGAGAGAGCAGAGGAAAACAGAGACTTGACATGACAAGCAGACTATATAACAGATACTGGACACTAGACAGGACAGAACCCAAAACTCAACATACCAAGGCAGATACCAAACTCAAAAGTAAATACAAAGGATGGCCAACCGGCAGAGCGTGACAGTACCCCCCCCCCCCCCGACGAGCGTCTCCAGACGGTCAACAAAACCCAAAACAGCACAAAATCAAGGCACAAGCCGGCCCAGGGTGGGCGGAGGGAGGACAGGAGGAGGGCAAGTCGAGCCAGGGTGGGCGGAGGGAGGACAGGAGGAGGGCCAGACCAGGAACTCTCAGGAGGGTGGCCAGAGGGCAAGGCAAGGGGGCGACAGAGTTCGGGAGATCGCACAAGCAGGCCAAGGGGACAAAACACTCCGTGGGAACCACCCAACAGGCAGATCATGCCCAGGAAACAGGGCAGGTAAGGCGCTTGGCCTAACATGCAGGGCAAGGCAGAGGGGCAGAACAGTTCAGGAGGTCGTCCCGGAGGGCGTCCCAGGAGGCCGTGCAGACCAAAGGGATCACGGAGTTCAGGAGGTCGTCCCGGAGGACGACCCGACAGGCCGAGCAAATCAGGGGGAAAACACAGTTCAGGAGGCCGTCCCGGAGGATGACAAGACAGGCCGAGCAAATCAGGGGGTAAACACAGTTCAGGAGGTCGTCCTGGAGGACGACCCGACAGGCCGAGCAAATCAGGGGAAAACACAGTTCAGGAGGCCGTCCCGGAGGATGACAAGACAGGCCGAGCAAATCAGGGGGTAAACACAGTTCAGGAGGCCGTCCCGGAGGTCGACCGAGTAGACCAGGAGAGCAAAACAGTTCAGGTGGGTGTCCCGTGGGACGACCCATGAGGCCGGGCAGAACCGGGGGGCCACAGAGTTCGGGAGGCCGCGCCGGAGGTCGACTCAACAGGCCGGGCAGAAAGGGGGGCCACAGAGTTCGGGAGGTTGGCAGGACGGCCAACAGTGAGGCAGCAAACCCACTGGGGGCCGAGCAGGAGGCCGACGGCAAGACCTCTTCGGAGGTCGGCACCCAAAGCTTGGGTGCTCTGGAGGCACAGCTGGGCTGAGGACCACCGGCGAGACAGCTGGGCTGAGGACCATGGACCGGACACGAGGAGCTGGAGTCGGCCTGACCACCGACTGGGTAGCAGGACTGGGGACCATGGACCGGACACGAGGAGCTGGAGTCGGCCGGACCACCGACTGGACAGCTGGGCTGGGGACCATGGACCGGACACGAGGAGCTGGAGTCGGCCTGACCACCGACTGGACAGCTGGGCT